CTAATACATATAAATATATATATATATAAATATATATATATATAAATATATATATATATATATATATGTATATTTATACATAAATGTACATATAAAAACACACACAAACGTCGTTTAATATGGTAGCGTGGCTCATAATGTCATATAAATACATGAGAAATGATTGGATTGATATGTTATTCGGTCCTTCAATACTATCAGCTGTAGAGCCAAATTATGAGTCGCTAATAGTACTGAAAAATATATATTGACCAATGCGAAAAAGAAAGGTGACATCTGTCGAAATGGACATCTGAAAAGTTGACAACTAGTGAGAACCCACTGTATATATATATATAATTACATATATACCCTAAAAAATGTACAAAAGCCGCTTCAAAGAAAAAAAAACAACAACTCTTGTGTAGCCATATATTAAATATGGGGGGTTTTTGTGTCCCCGATCATTAATGGGTCAATGGGCCCGATTGTATATTTTTGTGTTTGTGAAAAAAAACAAACGAACAGTATTTCATCGCTGGTATTTCAAGAAAAAATAGAAAATAAATCTTTTCGTTCAACTTTAGAAATATTAAATCTTCTTCAAAAATATAGAATATTCGAGGGGCTAAATTAGGGCGAACTATGTGGCACGTGAATATGATTGTCGTCCGATACAATTTTTTTCCATAGCTCTTTGATATGTGATAAATAGACCCTTTTTCTCTCTCTTGTGTGTGAGAGACTGAAAACTGAATCATATTTAAAAAAAATACTTGTTCCGGACCAGAAATTTGAGGACATACAAAGTCAGTCGTCAGTTGTCAGTTGTCACTCGTCTAGGCGTCAGTCGTTAGTCGTCGGTCGTCAGACGTCAAGTCGTCATAGAAAGACAACTATCTTATTTCTCTATTACTGTATGTTTGTTTTAAAATTTGGAGATGCCTGGTACCCTGGTTTCAGTGGTTTGCTCGTACCTTTACAAAAAATCCATAGCCTCTTAGAAATTTCAAAATTTGAACAAAAGATCGATAAAGGTTTCTCATAGGGGCCCGGATAGCGGCTGGGGAGTAAAATAAGTTCTTATATAAATTGTCGCTGAAATACATTGTACAACATGTAAAAATAATAAAAATAGAAATGTTTAAAAAAAAAAATACACAATTTGTTCTTTTGATACAAAAAATAAACGAACATAAAAAAATTATAGTAATCGCATAAATAGTCTTTTGTTCAATTTAAGACGGCTCTGGATATTTATATAAAATAAAGTTGTCGAATAATCGTGAAGGCCAAACTGTAGCAATAACACAGAGACGCGTCTTCGCGTCTTGTTGGTTTACTTTCTCATACCATACTATCTTTCGTGTCCAAATAAGATTAACTGAAGATGGCAAGTTCTACACGGGTGGCTCCTGTAAGTAAGGACAGTCTCTTCATAGGCTCTTTGCTAGATTCGAAGTCACAAGCGAGTTTGGCCAGCTACAGTTTAGAAGAATTGCAATTTTCTTCGACGTTTCGTCACCAACTTACTCCGGATCATCCAGATAAGAAAGAGAAGGGTATTCCTTACAGTTTAGAAGTTCATCGGGTACTAGATGTAATCGAGCAGAGGGGAGAACATAAAGTTGCTACAAACCGAGAGGTGCTCTGGGAGTGTGTGGAGAGAAGGTTTGTTGGGAAAGAATTTGAAAGGTATTCTGGGGTCGAGTATACTGGTAAACCCGTAGATACTGTACTACAATCTGCAAAGAATTATAGGTATCGATATTCTCGCATATTGTCTTCATTGTTCAAGAGGATATCATGGGCGCGAAATGTGAATGCAACGTGAAGTCTAAATTTAGACCTTTAATGGGCACACTTCCCGGCTGTGAAGTAGATCGACTTGCAGTTTACGATTACAAGTCTAAACCACTTTCGACCATAGATCATCACAGATATCCTACAATGTATTGTAGTATCAGTTGTAAGAGGTAAGAATGAGGGTTTTAGTCCGAGGCGACAATACAGTATCATATTTTACATTCGGGCATATTCTAATGATTGCTAGAGGATATCCTTACCAACTGTAAAATGCTGCACCTGGATGTCGGTGAGAAGAAAGAAATTGCTGATGCAACTGGGAGGTCAGTTGACTTTCAACTTGACGTGGTCACACAAATTGAAGTTGTATGAACTTCACAAAAATTCACAAAAGAAAACTGCCACTCTTTGGTTTAATTATCAAGTTCTGAGTACCTCGAATGAAGATAGCTGCACTCGATACAATAGCAGACTCGAGCACGTGTTATTACGCGACACCCTGTAGCATCTAAATAATTACTGGCAAGCTTCCGGCTTTATTTTTACTATACACTGCTTTAGATCTGTATGTGTACGGACGAAACCTGATAGACCTATCTGGTTCTGACTTCAATAATTTTAAAGACCAGCGTGGTGAATAAAACCTCCTCACACAGTTACCCTAAAGTAGTTTTTTCAAAACAATATCCAACAATTCGACAATGTAGTAGGACTATACCAAATATATATTAAAAGCAACAAACCTCATCTAAGTAACATTTTGAATAATCGATTTTATTTCCTAAGTACGTGTCCTTGACTGAGAAATGTACAGTGTGTTTCTCTTACATACTTTGTTGAGATCGGTCTATATATATATATATATATATATATATCCTCATCTGAGGAGTTCAATACATAACGAGATTTCCACTGTAGATATAACGGCGCATTTAATAGATAATCTACGATGACATGGGCCGGTGTTTAATGTTACATCTTGTACTTCGAATGAAAGGGTATTAAAAAAGTTCGTATCCTAGTATAATAATATACCAACACTGTGTCGTGTCTGGTCAATAGAAAAATCTCCATCGCCCTATGCAGTAGTGTAATCTAAGATTGTCACTACGAGACAGGTTCGAAACGTGTACTCCCGCTTTCTCCCACACTCGACTTCTACTTTTATAGACAGATACCAGAAGGACAATGTGTGTAAAGTTGTAAACGATAGTAAATACAATAATAAATACGCCTATTTTTATTAAATATTTATAGAATATCATACAGAGTAACATTTATATTTAAAATTTGGCCCGGTCTCATCCCCGAAAAAAGTGAAATTTAGTCCATTCACCGCAGTCAGCTGCTACTTGGATTCTTGGAATCTCATGCACGGGTACCCAAAAAGTCCCCAACTCCCGTTTCATGAATTTAGGACACCTGTCCAGGACTTCAGGACTCCCCGAGTACCCCCTGTGACCAGGTCTGCCGTCTGACACAGTGACCACTGGAGTCTGACCAGGTCTGTGTCGACCTCTTGCAGTCTTGCTTCAACATTAAAATTTGTTTTTGATATTATTAATAAAATAGAAAAAAAATACTATTTTTTGTATTTGTTTCCATTGCCAACAACTGATTATATCTTCCGTTGGCACTGGGCTATGTTTATTACACACAACAAGAAAAAAAGACAACAAATTTTTAAAACGTATTGAAGGCTCGCTCTACTCTCTCTCTCTCAGCAGATAGGCTGGGAGAGGGCCTTTAATCCTCTATGTAATGTTGTGAATTTTTTGTTTGTGTGGACTCGGTAGTCTGTGGAGCCCTACCGCCTAAGTATGTTGTATGTAAATACGACTCAAATTAAATATTGAAATTAAATATTGTCTGTCTACCTAACCTCATTTTTATACGTTCAACGAGCACCGTTTAACGCGTCAATAGCGCGACCCAGATAGTGAACCTACGACTTAGCCACATAATGCTGTCAGATCGACAAACGAGGAGGAATAAGGACAAAATTTGGCGACATGCGGGACTTGAAATCTGTACTCTTCTCGTGATATATACTGGACCGAACTATGCTAATATACGTTCAAAGTTTTACGTTTAAAACGGGTAGAATTCAACCTCTATATGTTTAAATATGAGGTTAGGTTACTCTATTCAATATTTTTAAATACACTCTACTGCAGTCTGCAGAAGGGCTGGAGGCTACAGAGCCTCCAGACTCAGGGCGGGAGTGGTGACCTATGGAGAGTGGAGACTGGACAAGAGCACAAAATATCTTTTTCGTGTTTGTTGGATACAACTTTTGGAGATGTGGACAAATAACCAATTTACGACACACTGATATTGTCTGTAAATAAAATCGTGTGATGAATCTGCGCTGGTGTTTGCCACTCTACATTTTACGACACAACGTGATGGGTTGATTTTTTAAATAAGTGCTGATATCTGGTCTGCACGAGCGTGGTCGTGCGTGTTTTTTAAAAACGGTTTGTGTCTGTATTGTATTGATTTTTTTTATATAGTTTGGTTAGAATTGCTGGACGGTGGCGGTGTGGCCTACTGGCCTATGGGAGAATGTGGCTGACATGGAGTGAGAAGTGGTGAGTGGTGGCCCACGAGAATGTCTTGGCGGAAATATTGGTTCACACGGAGAGGATACAGATATACACACACACACGCTTCGTAGTCGGCACACTTCGTTTTCTTTGAAAGGGCTAATATAGCAAGGTTGTAATAACCACCTTTTATCAATATACTAATCGCGACCATGAGTGTCCTATCTGCGAATATCTTTGACATGCTTCAGGATGATGCTGACAGCGGTAGCGTTGACTCATCTGTAAAGAAGATTGAGCCCAAAGCCGCTGCCGCCCCGGCACCGGTAAAGAAGACTGCCCCTCCCCCTAAGAAGGAGAGCCAGAGGGACAACAAACCCCGTGGTGATGGATCATGTACGTATCTGAGTAGCCTTTTGTCTATATGCATCTGCATATGCTCATAAGTTCGCGATTGTTGTTTTTACTCAGACGTATTAGACGCTGAAAGTGCTTGTGGGCGCATTAGTAATATTTGGATCATGTTCGTCATGTATCCAATTCACTTTATATATGAGCTTATTGATGTCACTCGTACGTTATAAATTTCTATTATGCGACTGGAAGACATGATATTTTCGTTGTAGCTCCAGGTGACTTATCATCTACTGGTTCTTATTTTATGTACGTTGTTAAGATGCACTCTTCTGTTTCATGAGCTGCATGGTTAAAATAATGGTGTTCTAGTGTAAGAGCTCTGCAAGATTAAAATGTTTCGGGTGAGTGCATATCATAGTTTGTTTCTAAGTAGCTTGGTGCTGGTGACTGATGTGGTGTGAGGTTGCGCACAGTTTTGTGAAGCGAGGACTTGTTTGTGTCTTTGTAAAAATATAGCTTGTGTTTTCTTTTGTATACACTGTCCATGATCTACGTGCTGTAAATGCAAGTAGATGTGACGCGATCAGTTATTGTTTAGCAGGGCTCGCCGTTTTCCATCGTGGCTAATATCGTGACTTGTTTGTAGATTCAGCATGTTACGTTTACCACAAGCCATGTATTAAGTCTTATATTATCTGCTATCTATAGCTCGTGGTGGTCGTGGAGGTGCCCGCAACGGTGGCGAGCGTCGCCAAGGTAACGATTACCAGAGTCGTGGAGACGCTGAAGTGCGTGTACGCTCTGAGCCTCGCGAGCCTCGCCAGCCACGTGGTGATAAGGGAGGATCATCCAACAACAACAGAGATCGCCACTCTCGTGGACCCAAGGGATCTGGACAGCAAAGAGAAAAGAAGGACGGCCACGGACGTCACAACTGGGGTGACTCTGTGGAAGCTCAGGCTGCTGTTGACGGTGTGGTACCCGAGGAGGGCACTGGAGAACCTGTGGAGCCCGAGGCACCCAAGGAGCCTACTCCTGAGGAACTAGCTGTAAGTTTAACATTCTGTAGGCAGGAAATGGTTTGTTTATTTAGAAGCTTTATGTTTAAATCAGTACAAATCGAAACGAGACGTTAGCTATGCGAGCTTCGTAGTATGTAGTTTTCTGTAGAATGATGCTAATCTACAATGTGGCTCGGTATGTATAGTATGAGGTTTGGAGGATTTGCCTCTATATTGCTTCAGATTCTTTATAGGAGAAGCGAATATGCTCGTATTTCACCATTCTGGCTGGACCTATTTCAGCTGATTAATCGCAGTCGCACACAACAACCTATAGTTCTAATAGTTCGCTCTTTATGACGATTGTGTGCTCGCCTGAAACGACTACGTAGAACAGGTGTTGTACATGGTTCACTCTCCGAGTCTTTTCTCACGGTACGCCTTTTCTACGTCTGTATTAATTAGGCCAAGGCCGAGCGCGAGGCAGAGGAGAAGCAGATGACACTTGCTGACTACCAGAAGCAACAGGCGGAGAAGAAGGTGGCTGCCGAACTTTCCGTTCGACAAGCTGGTGAGGGTGTCGACAACTCGGAGTGGAAGGACACGGTTGTCATGACCAAGAATGAAGAGGTATTTGCTTGTGCTCATTATGGTGTACTCTAGTGTTATATTTATTGAGGTATGAACCGATTCGGCTTCTGAGCATTTAAGGGGTTACTTTGCTCCCGGACGAGGCGGAGCTGTATCTTAACTTCATTGCAAAGATCGAGAAACTCCAACTCTCGCTTCATAGCTTACATTTGAGATCGCTGCATTTAAACTGGCAGGATTTCTGGAACTTGCGCTATAGATACTGTGTGACCGGGAAGCATGGTACTCGCATATCGAGCTGGAAATATAAGCATGTCTTATTGTATAATACGAGCATGCGCATCGCAACGGATTACAAATTAGTTCACATGGCTGAACTAGCCAATCCATGTATGTTGTATGGAAGCCTTGATAATTATTGTACGAATACTCAACCTTCACCACACTTCCTTTTAATCAGCAGAGCGAAGGTGGTGTTGCTCCCGGATCAAAGAACCGCAAAAAGAAGGGAAACAAGAAGGTCATTTCTGAGGCTGCCCCCATCGATATCAAGTACAACGATGAGCAACAACAGGGAGGACGCGGTGGCTTCGGCGGCCGAGGAGGGTAAGTTTGAGGGACAGATGTACGGTTCATATGAGTGTCGCATCAATGATTTGATACTTAATGTTTCGTGACCGGTATTAACCTTGCTAGGGAGTCTTCTCTATTAGCATAGTAACCTCATGTTTTCTCGTTGGCACGAGTTCGAAATATGTGTTCTTGTACGGTTAATTTAATTGGGGTGATTTATACTCGTTGGCATCGATCCTTATATTTTACTTCTGTGTTAATTTATGTTTAGCATCGATCCTTATATTTTACTTCTGTATTTATGCATGTTTGCCATCGATCCTTATACTGTACTTCTGTATTAATATCCGTGTGCTTTCGGCTTGGCCTCTCAACAGACGTGGAGGACGTGGAGGACAACGAGGAGGACGTGGGGGCCGCAGCAGCAACGCCCCATCTCTTGCTGACGAGAGTGCTTTCCCATCACTTTAAGTCTAAACTTAGTTTGACACCTACCTCCCATACAATTGAGTGCGATCGGACGGCGGAACGGGTGGCAACGTGCATGCAAAGGCTCAAGCACACTGTATCTGTGTTTTGGTGTGTGTACGTATGAAATGAGCGGCAGGGTTAACGCGTTGTGGCCTGTTATTAGCACACCGTTTGGCGGGTATGGGATGGGTGGAAGAGGGGCTGCGGGAATAATCTGTTCTCCGCTCTTGTCACAGGATGCGATCATACCAACCGTCGGCCTGTACATACTTGCTTGGATCTTGGTTTGCTCTTTACATGGAGTTTCTTTCGAACACTCACTTCACTGGTACACTAGGCACTCCGTGCGCGGGTCATGTGTATATATGGTCAGTATAACAGCTGAGCACGAGACACGTGTACACACACGTGTGGGATGTTATTTGTTCTGAGCGCTGCTACTTGTCATACCCAGTCGGACGGGACCATGCTCACACACAATATAGGCTGTGTTAATTCACGTATACATGTGAGTGCCCGTATAGAGAAGTTAAGTGGGGATAATAAGTGGGCTTGCTGTAGGGAAGCGTAGACACGATGCTGGGCTTATGTCGTTGGTTGGTGGGTCTCACCAATAGCGTATGTTTGTATAAATATTAATAAAGGAAGGCATCATTAGGGTCATTTACTACAAACATCACTGAAGCGTTAAAAATATAGATCGTATGTGCTCCACAGTCGTAAAGATCTATTCATCATTTGTACAATGTGTATTTTACAGGTATATAGCTATCTGACTTCACGCACACTTCCCGTTGTTTTGAATATTTCAATTCAATATTTGAGTATACTTCTGGGTATCTATCTGAAACAAATGTGGTGCTGTTATCCATCGTACCGCACACCAGAATTAAGTATCTAACTCGACGAACAGTGCAGTTGCTGTTTTTTGAGCCCCTCAATGTATTGATGAAGTATACTTGTGGGCATCTAGTGTATCATTACTATCTATCGAGGAAACAAAGGAATTTCAGCTGCGATCCATCCGTGCCATACATACCCCAAATTATGTACTATTTTGGTATATAGTTGATTTCCATTTGTGCCACGCACCCGGGTGGTGCATTTAGATGATACTGTATGACATTCTGTATAGAACACGGTAGTCAACATTTCTTTCGTCATTAGGAGTCGTTCCATTAAAACCGTGTCATGAGCAAGTGTATCTGAAAGGGGTTTTGTGACAAATCGGACAGCTCTCAGTGTTACAAGGCGGTCGAATGCCGGTCTGGGTTTGTCGTTGAGGATCTTTTCACGAATCTGTTCCACGAACATTATCTAAAGGCGTTTTGGCGAATTGGATTTCTGTCAATATTACAAGCGGTTGTATAATAGACTTCTAAATCAAACAGTTGTATGCCGGCCTGCTTTTCCGAAATTGATCACCTTTGCCATATTTGGATCAATGGATGACTGGCTAACCCTGATTGACCTTCAAACTTGTGGGATGTCGCTTCAGATTCGTGTAGTACAGTCCAGCTGAAATAATCGTGAAGTAGTACGACCGCATGCCGCAATCATTTTCATCTTGATCACCATTGCTTATGTGGTGTAAAAATTGAAGTCCTCGTCGAAAACCCTAAACCCCGTGTTCGTGCAGATCAACAGCAGCCTTTTGCTTGAGTAGTAGGGTTTTACGTAGTAGGGGTTCATACATAGATATAGTTCATAGCCTCCTGAAAGAGATGTGCTTATGGAATAGCTTAGAATCAGCTCCGATATTGATAACTATGAACTTACGTATTGTCCTACGGGATGAATTGGTCCATACACTAGGTACCGAACAGTCAGAAGACGACGGCACCGAAGGACACATGTCATATCGTAACAAGGTGCCAAAAGGGTGCCAGGGAGAAGGACTACAATTGGGTAATTATAATAGTGAGAGCAGCTTGAGTTACTTAGTAGTGAAAGGATACGGCAGGAGCTGATGCAGTACGGCAAGAATGGGGTTGAAGTTAGAGGACAGCCGGGATGAAGATAAAGAAAGGGCTGACGTGAGGGGAGACCTACTATGGCAGGTGTCAGAGGACACCTGACCAAAGGAAGCTGCAGTGGTTGGCTGCCCAGGTAGGTTGCCCACAAGAGGAGCCGCATAGTGTCAGTAAGGCATCAACGATATAGCGATAGTATGGGAGAAGCTACAGTAGAGGTCTGATAGACCACCACAGGTTGATACTATGGGTGCAAGATAATGTTGTGACGATGAAGAAGAGAGAAACAAGTGTTAGAATTAGCCTGCTGAAGGATATATTTGAAGGAAACACAATATGAGCATCCAGGTCATAACTTATGAATTGGATGCATATCAAATCATTTACTGATCGGATATCATACTATTATGCTCATACCTTCTAAATACATATAATGGATTAAAAAAATTCGGTCATCATTTACAGCCTGTGTGTACCTAAAAAGCCCCCCAAAAATGCAGCGACGTCACCAAATTTTGAAGCATATTTGGCTAGTAATGTTTTTAGGAGGCTATGTATAGTTACATACGTACGTCGTACATTCGCCTTGTATTTAGTTGCGTACATTTGCTTATAGTTGCGTGCATCCGCACTGTTGGTGTACTCTCTAGCTATGAATTTAATGTGGAGAAGCATCACAGTTCGAAATGGGTCAATATATGTCGCGGACTAGGCGGACTAGATTATCCCAACTACCACGGACTACAGCGTATTATGCGACACCCACTACTATGGGTGCCCACACACCCGCAACTACGCACGTACTCATCGCCGGAGATGCAAGGGCACCACCAGTTACTTTAAAACGTTCGCGTACGCAAGATGATGGTAGTGAAGATGAAGAAGGAGATAAAGCCCAAATAAAGAAGAGACGAGTTGAGAACACATATTATCAGGTTGTAGGAGACTTAAAGCACACCTCGGAGTACATGTTCACACAGCTCTTTGAGAATGGCGTGGGTAGTGATGTGTGCATAACGGCTTTGGGTCACTCGTGGCATCTGCATAAGGTAGGTGTGCACTTGTCTGGGGTTATAGTACGTTGTACGTTAAGTATTAGTCTTTAGTGAAGTAGATGGACCTGGCATTGCGACTTGTCTGATTGTATGTTATCTTGTACGTTCTGTGCTAGTCCTTAGTGGAGTAGATGCATTGAGGTACATCAACACGGTTACAATAGTACTCCGTTCCTGTGCCAACTGACAGAAGAGTTGTGACTAACGTCTTAGTACTTGGGTCCATCTGAGACCTTATCTGAGATAGTCAAAGCATACATCCCAGGAATGACTCAGTTCGTATTATTATTATTCGCACAAGTCATGCGCATGTCACTTCAATCCGCTTATGTATACTCCTTCTACATGCACGTGTGCGATGGCTATCTAGTTGATCGGCTTCTCACAGTCTGGAGTGTCCTGATTCGTAAAGACTTCTAGTTCAATCCGAATGGAATAAAGGGAATCGAATGTAGACCTGCGAGTATAGTACTCACAACCCCTCTGCGCTTGTTGTGCTTGTCGGGTCTCCTCTACACAGGTATTGCTACGCCAATCAAAGTTCTTTGACTGTATGTTCTCGGGGAGGTGGGCGGATGATAGCGACAGTAATGTGACACTCACAATCGACGATCCTAACGTTGACGTGGCGGCGTTGTCCACGTGCTTTGCGTCCATGTATGGTGATAGCATTGTTATTACTGTGGATGGTCTGGTACGTATGTTGGCCCTGCTGTAATATATGTCATAGATATTACTGTGGATGATCTGGTACGTATGTTGACTCTGCTGTAGTATATGTCATAGATGGTCCCCCTGGGCACATTTATGCCTGTGCTAGCTCGCTGTATTGGCTGAGGTCTGTGTGTGTTTCGCCTGCCGTTACATACTGTTGGGTTGGTTGGTGGTTCTTGGCGTAGGATACCTCTGGCACAGGCGATCCCTAGACCTGGGGTTGGCTTCATACTGTTTGGGTTTGTATCAGTTTCCAAAGGTGTACAGTAGCCGTATCTTACGGATTAACGGAGAATTGTATGCTACATGATACATGCAGTGGTGTTGCTTTGTAGTGATGCCGTGCATGTCCGTTCATAGATTAAGGGAGAATAGAATGCTACATGATACATACAGTAGTGTTGTTTTGTACTGATGCCATGTATGTCCATTCATAGATTAACGGAGCATTGTATGCTACATGATAAATACAATGGTGTTGCTTTGTAGTGATGCCATGCATGTCCATCCATAGATTAACGGAGAATTGTATGCTACATGATATATACAGTGGTGTTGCTTTGTACTGATGCCATGCATGTCCATTCATAGATCAACGGATAATTGTATGCTACATGATACATACAGTGGTGTTGCTTTGTACTGATGCCATGCATGTCCATTCATAGATTAACGGAGAATAGTATGCTACATGATAAATACAGTGGAGCTCTGGCGCAGCGTAACGCTGTCAAGTCAAGCAATGAGATCACATCAACAAGCTGTGATACATTCTTCGTCTCTCTTGTATTGTGGGCCAATGTAGGATATGTACCTCTGGCTTATGTATACTGGATGTCTTTGACCTATGCATGCTGTCTACCTTTGGACCTACATCAACCTCTGGAGACCATTTGTACTGACTTCTTTGGCGTTTGCTGAATTCAGATATCGCTCGTGGCCAGCGCGACACTCCTGCAGCTCGACAACGTCCTCGACCGTTGCTTAGCAACCGCCAAGGGATCCCTGGACTCCAGCAACGTCCTCACTCTATACGAAGCTGCTCGCATGTACGGCATGACAGGCATAGAAACACTCACAGTCGACTACCTCAGCTCAAGAATACTCCTGTACGCAGAAGACACCCACACGCCACCCATCAACTGGTTACTCGGGCTGGATGCTGCGCTTATGCAGCGCCTTGTGGTGTCATCGACGTTGTGGGTGTTCACAGTGGAGCTGGATGTGTACTCACTATGCTGCATGTGGATGTATGTGGAGTGTGACATTGCACTGATTGCATGCATGGGTGTTGGTTGTGGTTAGAGTGGTGGATGTATGTGGAGTGTGACATTGCATTGGTCGCATGCATGGGTTTTGGTTGTAGTTAGAGTGGTGGATGTATGTTGAGTGTGTTATTACACTGATCGCATGCATGGGTGTTGGTTGTGGTTAGAGTGGTGGATGTATGTTGAGTGTGTTATTACATTGATTGCAAGCACGGGTGTTGGTTGTGGTTAGAGTGGTGGATGTATGTTGAGTGTGGTATTACACGTGTGTTTTGGTTATGCTCTGGCCGTCTTTAAATCATCGTATCGTTTGGCAGTCTTACGTATGGTGTGCTGCCACATTTGACACCCTGACAGACGTAGCTGCCACGACTATACTACACCTGCAAGGGTGGTTACGATGGGGTGGTCACGAATACACGAATGCCCACGAACACTTGTGATACTGTAGTGGGTCATACGGTTTATATATCACCTGCATATCACTTCTATTCACCTACACTACATGCACGCTCAGATTCAACTTGTGTGACACCGTAGTGGGTCATACGGTTTATATATCACCTGCATATCACTTCTATTCACCTATACTACAGGTACGCTCAGATTGAACGCGATACCATTGAGGAGTACATTGACAAGACATCGTCCGACGACTGCAGTAAACTGCTTAAGGGCTGGTCCGAAGAGTTTTTCTCGTCCTGGGCTAAAGGTTCGTGTGCATGTATCCGAGCTAGAATGCAACAGACTGTCTGTGCTTACGAGTGTGTAATAGACTGGGCTTGTGTAGGCTAGTGAAGTATGCAGTAGCACCTGCCACCTTGAGATTAGGACCGGTTGGCCCTAAGGGGTCAGTATGATATGGGTAACCCTGCCGATGATTGGGCTTGTGTAGGCTATTGAAGTATGACGTAGCACCTGTCACCTTGAGATTTGGACCGGTTGTCCCTAAGGGGTCAGTATGATATTGGCAACCCTGCCGATAATTGGGCTTGTGTAGGCTAGTGAAGTATGTAGTAGCACCTGCCACCTTGATATTAGGACCGGTTAGCCCTAAGGGGTCATTATGGTATGGACTTAGCCTCTTGTGATCAGCATTGCACTGTTTTATACTGGCTTTGTTGCTATATATATTGCGTTGTTGACAAATACTGCATCTCCCGTTCTGCCCTGAAAGAGAGTATGGGATTTGTAACTATGTGACAGGTCACTCTACCATAGGCTGTAGCTATACTATAATCAACAGGGTTGCACCCCTTGCTTAGTCTCAGCTATTTATAACTATGAGATTGTTAGCTATGTGATAGGGTCACTCTACCATAGGCTGTAGATACACTACAATCAACAGGGTTGCAGCCCTTGCTTAGGCTCAGCTATTTATAACTATGAGGTTGTTAGTTATGTGATAGGGTCACTCTACCATAGGCTGTAGCTATACTATAATCAACAGTGTTGCAGCCCTTACTTAGGCTTAGCTATTTATAACTATGAGATTGTTAGCTATGTGATAGGGTCACTCTACCATAGGCTGTAGCTATACTACAATCAACAGGGTTGCAGCCCTTGCTTAGTCTCAGCTATTTTTAACTATGAGATTGTTAGCTATGTGATAGGGTCACTCTACCATAGGCTGTAGCTATACAACAATCAACAGGGTTGCAGCCCTGGCTTAGTCTGAGCTATTTTCGGAATAGCTGCACAGACAACTGTCTGCCTTCTAAATATGCAATGCACGATCGCACTACGCGATGCGTTTGGCCAGTATGGAAGCTAGCTTCATCTGAGCAAATGCCATCTTGTATCTTTACGGATTCAACCCTACACCCTCTATAGCCGTCGCCATACAAAGTCACACCCCATTCTATTTCTAACCTGTACACATGCCATTCTAATTCCAACCTATACACATGCCATTCTAATTCCAACCTGTATACATACGGCGTGTTCTGTCTTTGTACCACCAGAGAATAAGGACACTGCGTTTCTCAACAGTGAGATAGGCCAGCGGTACATACCTGTGTTTAGAGCACTCCGTTTAGAACACGTTATAAACGCCATCGAACATCTGGACAAGGTGGAGACGGATGCGATCATACCCAGGGACTGGGTACATGCCGCTGTCTATAACTGGTGGGATATGTTCGGTACCATCGAGTGTCTATGACACGCCCAAGCACCTCACTGACTGAGCCATACAGTTGCAATGTACACATGCGTGGGTGCTAACATTGTGGCGTGGTTGTTGTCTAGATTGCCTGATAGCATGTACGCGTGCATACATTTTACCTGATAACATGTACCTGCGACACAGGACTGTGCCGTCTTGCTACATACACCGCACTGTACGTAGTACTGGCGGCAGATGCGCACAGGTGGGCTTTAGTGGTGGTTGACTACCTGTTGCCAATTGAACATGACAGGACATATTTAGCTGTTCATGACACGATATATCTAGTTGTTCCGTGTGACTCTACTTACCACTGTAATATACGGGGATGGTTGATGGGCATTAGAGTATATCCTAAAGTTCTGGTACAAATGTTTACACCCACTTTTCTGCTGCAGAAGTGTTGGTAATATGAATGTGAGTTGTCGTCGTATGCTAGCTTCCATCGTCAAGATTGTAATGGTGTAGTAGCGCCAACTGAATATACCCAACACCAAGCTAATTCAGAGTTGATGCCTTTGTTTGTCAATA